GGTGGGTAGAGAGAGGGGTGGGTAGAGAGAGGAGTGGGTTGAGAAGTACGTGGTAGAAGGGCTGGGTAGAGAGAGAGGGGTGGGTAGAGAGAGGAGTGGGTTGAGAAGTACGTGGTAGAAGGGCTGGGTAGAGAGAGAGGGGTGGGTAGAGAGAGGGGTGGGTTGAGAAGTACGTGGTAGAAGGGCTGGGTAGAGAGAGAGGGGTGGGTAGAGAGAGGGGTGGGTAGAGAGAGGGGTGGGTAGAGAGAGGAGTGGTTGAGAAAAGTAGAGAGGAGTGCAGGGTCTCCAACCATTCCGCATTCTGCGGAATCTGTACGAGTTCTAGGCTTGATTTCCGCATTCCGCAGTGGCAAAGTTATATTCCGCATTTCAGTTGCACGTTAAAAATGTGGTGCCTGAGCACTGGCCATGCACCGGTGCAGTGGAGATGCAGCAGCAAACGCGTTCAATGCTGCCTTGTTAACAATGGATCTATCGCCCTGTGCTGGAATTTTTGCATATTCTCGTATGGTTTAGATAGATTTTTCAGCTATTTACTGGCAAATCGCGTTAACTCTTATGATGCACCAGATGACACTGGAAATCACAATTATTTTTTGATAATTTTTAGACAGGGCGAGTTGGGTACGACAGGCGAGAGTGGCTAGACACGCGAGCTGGTAAGAGGCAAGTGGGTAGACAGCAGAGTGGGTAGACAGCGGAGTGGGTAGACAGAGGAGTGGGTTAGACGAGAGAGGTAGACAGAGAGAGGCGTAGTACAGAGGAGTGTGGTAGACAGCGGACTGCGGTAGACAGCCGGTAGTGGTAGACAGCGAGTGGTACGACCAGAGACGTGGGTAGCCACATGAGGCAGAGTAGACAGAGCGAGTGGGTAGATCAGCGGACTGGGTAGACAGGGCGGACTGGGTAGACAAGCGGAGTGGTGAACAGAGGAAGTGGTAGACAGAGGAGAGGTAGAGAGAGGAGAGGGGTAGACAGAAGGCAGTGGGTATGGACAGCTGGAGTGGGTGACAGAGAGAGGGTGACAGCGGAGAGGGTACGACAGCAGAGTGAGTAGACGAGAGGAAGGTAAAGAGAGATAGAGAAGAGGATAGGTCAGACATAGGCTAGGAGAGGAAGTGGGTTAGACAGCAGAGTGGGTAGACAGCAGAGTGGGTAGACAGAGGAGTGGGTAGAGAGAGATAGAGAGAGGAGTAGGTAGACATAGGTAGAGAGAGGAGTGGGACGTGAGAGAAGTTGTTGCGAAAAGTAGAGGGGTGTGTAGAGAGAGAGAGAGAAATGATTAGGATTTTCGCTTGAATTAGTAATGCTGGCTGCCACGCTGGAACTTTATCTTGCGCGTCGTCGGTTACAGCGAATTCTGGTCGTCAGGTTTGAACTTGTGTGTGTTTTTCAGGTACTACCAAGACATCAAACTAATGGCAGCTATATCTGATCAGGACATGAATGCA